AACCCAAGTAAAAAGCTGTGCATGGTGGTATATACTTGTAATCCCAGTGCTGTAGAGGAAGACAGGTGACTCCCTGCAGCTCGCTGGGCAGTCAACCTAGCCTACTCAGTAAGCTCCAGGGTCAATGAGAGACCCTGTCTCAGAAAAACCCAGGTGGACGGCTGCTGAGGAACCATACCCGAGGTTGACCTCTGGCCTCTATAGCTTGGGCACACACAAAATTGCAAATTATCTTATAACAAAATTCAAGTAGAATTGGATTGTAGTCCGAAGTATAAAACAAGATCCCATGATTCCATATTGATGAAAGTGATTGAATAAACAGATGGGGGAAGAGATAAATTGTGTGCAGGATTCCAAATGCCATCTGGAGGCATCTCATCCAGGAGGCAGGGTGTAATTCCCCACTCTTCACAGCAGAATGGCTTCCTTCCAAAGAGTGATAAAGAGGAGGATAAAGTCAGCATCACCAGGACAAGTCACTTTGATATATGATGCCTGCTGTGCTTCAAATAGGAAATGTCTCCTACAGGCTCATGTGTTGAAGCCTTGAAGCTGAGGTCCCTGACTCCATGCTAATTCATAGTGCTGAAACCCTTAGGAAGTGTGGTTGGAGGAAGTAGGTGGTCACTGGGGGTGGGTCTTTACTCTGGCCTCTTCCTGTCTGGCTGTGTATTTCTTGTCTGCTATGAGGTGATAGGCCTTGCTGGTCACTGGCTCCCCACCATGCTGTTCAGTCTCACTACAGGCCCATAGCCATGGTGCTAGCCAACCATTGACTGAGCTCTCTCAAACCATTGAGCCCAAGTAAATCCTTCCTCCTTTAAACGGTTTCTCTCAGGGATTTGTCACAGTAACAAAAAGTAAAGTCATTAACATAGAACCTTAGATAGGATGTGCTGGGAATGGCTCTGCACTGTTACTCCATCCAACCCTTCAACCCACACCTAACCAGTAGACAAACCCCAATGAACCTCCTGTTCTTCCTCAAAACTGTTTGAGAAACTGTCCCAGCCAAGAGGAGCCAAGGGAGGCATGGTGACATGGAATGTGGTATCCTGCGTAGGATCCTGGGGCAGACGCAGACGGAGGACATTAGGTAAAGTCAGGATCTCAGAATCCAGCTTGGGCTTTCACTGACACCAATGTGCCAGGACTGGTGTGTGACTGTGTCCAATGTTGCTTAGCTTCTGACACCAGGAGAGGCTGCATGCCAGGCACAGGGCATACTCTGTCCTATGCTTGCAACTTTCCTGTAACTCTAAAACCATTCTAACGAAAATAACAAACAAGCCTGAGTGCAGAATGAAGAAAGGCAACTTTGTGATTGCCCTGTTCCTGGATACATAAAAAAAAGGACCACAGTGTTCCCAGCTCTTTATCAGAGAAGAGGCTATGGGGACCAGAAATGGGTCCTGGGGAAGGAAGGGGGGTGTAGCCAAGGCCACACAGACACTGGGGACAAGGGAGCTGGCTCCAAGCACGGTGAAGGCTGTCTCTCACTGTGCTGCAGGAGGTCAACCGAGGAGGTAGCTGGCCACTCTCAAGGCACAGGGACCACCCATGGTGTCTCTCTTTCAAAATGATGTCACTGTGCTAGTGGAATTTCATATGGTTCTTTGGGAACCGTACAGTAGAGCAAAGGGCTATCCCAGTATCCCTGAAGATCAGGTCATTAGACTCTTTTTCCTGTCTTTGCAACATGGTCTTATATTGTGTTCCAGGTTGGAACTTACTAAGCTATATATCCCCAGTACCACTCTTACTAACTGTGCAACTTCAGGCAAATGAGTCAACATCTCTGTGCCTCCATTTACTCATCTGGAAAGGGGGGAAGCTAATTATGCCTAGTTGATAGAAACTACTATGAGGATCAAATAATATTGGGCAAGTAGGCATCTTAACTTGTGTGTCAGTACATTATGGCATGTTAGCTCAACAAGGATGAAATTGCCCAGTGAAGTATTTCTCAGATATACCCCATATCTGAATTTACAAAGGGTCTGCTGACATCCTCCTGTACCCTCTAAACCATCTCTAGATCATATGCAATCTCTAACACATAGTGGGTGTTACGCTGTGCTGTTTAGGGTCTGTCCATGTTCAGTGCAGGCACAGTTATTTCTCCCAAATACTGTCCATCTATGGTTGAATGTGTAGGTGCAATAGGGGATAGAGGAGGGTAACTGTCTCTTTCCTGTTCTCCTTTTGGGGCTCCATTCTGGTCTAGCCAGGACTGGACTCCAGTCTCAGTCCCTCCACTCACTCACCTCGTGACCTCACTCCCTGGCTGGTAGCAGTCCTGCTGTCCACCCAGTGCCCTGGCCTTTTTCTTCCCTGGATTCCAGCCCAGCCTCCCAAAGCCAGCTCCACATCTCTTCATCCCAGGGCTGCTGCTGGCAAGCATCTGCTCTCACTCAGTGAAGAGTGAAAGGGATGGAAAACAACTCTCCAAACTCCACAGTCTTTAACTCATGATGATCACAAACTCGTGAGCAGCGTACAGCTCCCAGGCCCTCAGGTGACAGGGCCCCAAGGAGTGCACTCCACACTGCCTTCCAGTTAGTGTTCCCAGAGGCTATGTGCATAACTGCCTCTCTCTGGTCATCCTCCCTTCTCTCTCCTCCTGCTGCTTCCTGGAGACCTTTCCCTAGGGAACCAGGCTCTGAAAGTCCTGTGCTGGGGACACTTGAACTCAGGCCTCCTCTGGCTCTGTGAAGTGGGACAAAAAAGGCAGAGCCTGCTTGACGACAAGATGGTACCTGGAGAACACAGGGATGGCACTCACCAACAACCCCAATAGAACCATCCCTGTCCCCACAGGGCCTGGGAGATGCCATGCTTTGGTGCTTTCTGAAGAGATGAGACCCAAGGCTTATGCAGGCTAAGCAGCACAGCAAGAGCCCTCCCACTGAGCCCAACTCGAGCCCCAGGACACCTCTGACAAGACTGCCACCTCTTACACTGCTCCAGCTTGTGGCACGGTCCCATCTACATTTTCCCAGGGTCTGCCCCTCACTACATGCCCTGGACACAACCCTCCTGATGACCAGTCATCCAATTACTCTTCCACCTGATTTTAAGCTGAATTCTCCTAAGACTGGGGAGCCAATTCATCAGGGCCTTACAAGGAAAGGTAATCAGGCTGCTAGGGGCATCTGCTTTGTCGGCACCAGTCACTGTAGGACTAGAACCCTTTAGTGAAAGGAATAAACAGTGTATCCCCCGGCCTCCTACCTGCTGTCTGCTATGTGCACCTGTGGGAAAAGAGGCATCTATAGACAGCCAGGCTTGGGTGGGCTGCACTGGGCTGGCTGGTGGACCAGCAGCTTTCCCCTCCCTGGAGGGATATTGTCTCCTGCCCAGCCCCATACCCTGTGGCAGGGTAATTGAGACTTTTCTGAAGGTTCCATGAGTTCCAATTGTCTCCATTTTCAGGTACAAATAACAGCTATATGGATCTTATTTATTCTGGGGTAAGAGAATCCACTAGCAAACTGAGCCCCAAGTCCTATGCCCGCAAACAATTCCCAGCAAACAGAGAAGTGCCACAAGTCACACTCAGAGCATCTGGGAGGCAGGAGTCCACAGTGTCAATCAGAGATGGTATGGAGTAGAGCCCAGAAATACTGAGACTGGAAGGGTTAAATCCTGGCTCTGCCACTTTTCCCCTGCGCCCTCTGGGAAATAGTCACAACAGCTGTTGTATGGTACTGTAGGGATTGTGGTTTATTCCTGAGAAGACCGTGGGAGAGGGCCTCAAACATAGTGAGTCCTTGGGGAACACTGTTGCTAGGGTGGGACACCTTGTGGAAGATGACCAGAAGGATACAACACTGGCTTCTGTCCAAATGATTGTGGAAGCAGAGTGGAGTTTGTGGGGTCAGGAGGAGTAGACAGGAACTGATAATTGAGGATGGGGTTGTCTGTTGGGATGATGTGAATGACAACCAGATAGAGATGGTGGTTTCCCAGTGCCGGTCACTACCAAATGCCCATGGATGGTGTACTTTAAATGGCTCTTTTCACATGATATGTATTTTGCCTTAAGTTGTTTTTTAAAAAGCCTTCTGGGGAGTCAGTTAGGCTGGAGTAGGTGGAAAAAGCCTTTATGAGACATTTTACTTTTGACAGTTTTGTTCATTTCTGTCCAGCTTGTTTTTTAAAAAAAATAATGAATGCATATATGTACTACTTTTATAATTAAACAAATTTATGCTGCTTTCAAAGGGGACTAGCATAACAGAAAACGTGGGTGTGGGTGGGAGCACGTAAGAAGCTGTGACTCATCCAACTGTCATTTTCCTATCATCTACCCATCCATCCATCCATCCATCCATCCTCCCTCTATCCATCCTCTAGTCATTATACATCCACCATCTATACATCTATCCTTTCTCTATCCATCCTTTATTCATCCTCTGTCCATCCACAATCCATCCATCCATCCTCTATCCATCTAGTTGTTTCCATTCATCAACCCATCTTCCTTCTCTATCCATCTTCTATTATCCATCCTTTAGCCTTCATCTATCCATTGATCCATCCTCTATCACTCACTCTTCCCATGTACTAGGAACAGCACCTGGGGGAGAAGGTATTAAAAATCTCATTTCAAAGTGACAAAAGTGAGGCTCCAAAAATTTATGCCATTTTCCCAACTTAAAGCCTAACTCCGAAACGTCTGCTGATTGACATGCCCTTTATCTTTATCCATAAACAAGGGATCTAAACCACATTTTCTCCGACACTCTTGTCCCTGGTCAACAACCCAGCTCTCAAAATCAGAGAAAGCCAGCGCAGTCCTGTCTCTCTGGTGTCTGAATGCCCCAGAACCCTCTGTCATCATAACTCTCCTTCACCTAGAGTCCCCATTACTGATTCTGGACAGGCACTGTGGCAAGGAGTGGGGCAAGGAGGAAGAGCAGGCAGTAGCTGCCTGCATGGGGAGCTTCTCACGGCTGCACCTGCCTGACTAGAGGGGTAGACAGTCAACTCACCCCAGTCACCTCCCGCTGCAGGATCCTGGCTGCCTCTGCCCGGCCTAGTCCCAGCTGCAGCCACACAGGGCATGTCTTCACCAACTTTTCCAGGACACTAATGCCCCGACAAGGAATGCAGTTCTTCAGGGTGGCTGGCAGACCAAGCCTCACGTCGTCTTTCTCCTCCTCTCCCTCTCCCTCTGCTTTGTCAGCATCTGGAACAGGACTGAGAACAGGACATGGAGTCAAATGGTCAGTTTGTCCTCTGCAGCCAGCCCGGGGGCGGGGTGTGGATAACAAATGGGGATTGAACCAACCCTGCTTGTTTATTTAGGATCTGAGTGGACTGGGCCCTTTGGGGAATGCTGAAGCCAACAAATGAGAGTCTATCTAGAATGTTCCATCACGTATGATATGTACAGAAACAGCCAGCTACAATGCAAGGAGGGACTAGATATAATGAGTACAGTGTGACACAGTGGCCACGTTCAACCCAGGTGGACTCAAGAAAGCACTACAGCATCTGAGTAGAGTCCTGAAGGGGAGTTTTAAAATCTCTTAATTGAAGAGTGACTGGGAGGCACTGTACAGAAGGCTCCGTTTTTACCCATTTACACCTGAAAGGCTGCTATCCATCATCCCAATAAAACCTGCACACCCTTCCCCAGTCTCCTGCCCAAGTTATTCTGTCCACCTGCAATTCCTTTGGGGTTCCCATCCTTCCCCCAAAACTCTCTCCAGCTGGTAGGTAAAAATATGAGACCAACATGGAGAACAACCATCATGCAGGAAAAGAAATGAATTAGTTTAAAACTTCTGCGCAGGGCTTGGTGCACTAGCTCAGCAGGTAAAGCGCTTGCCAGGCAAGCATGAGCATCTGAGTTTGATCCCCAGAACCTACACAAAAAGCTGGACATAGTGGCATGCATTTGCAATCCTGGCACTGGGGAGGCAGAGACAGGTAGATCCCTGGGGCTTGCTGGCCAGCCTGCATAGCCTACTTGGAGAGTTTTAAGCCAATGAGTCAAAAACAAGATGGAGGATGCCTGAAGAATGACACCTGAGATTGTCCTCAGGCCTCCACAAGCGTGCATCAACACACACACACACATACACACACACACACACACACGCACACACGCACACACGCACACACACGCTTCTGTCCATCAGGTTGAAGGAAAATATTTGCAAAACATGTATCTTGTAAAGGACAGGTAAGTCAATTAAAGAAGGGGAAGTAAAAAGATCTGAACAGTTACTCCAAAGAAGACACACATGGGCTGGAAAGCAGGTGAAAACATGCTCAAAATCCTCGGTCATTGGGGACACGCAAAGTAAGACCACGAGGTGACACCATGTTGTAACCACAGGAACCGCTTAAATCATGAAGCCCACCCCTGCCACATGCTGCTCAGCATCAGAATACACTCTGATTTGCTGGTGACGATCTAGATTGGTACAACCACTTTGGAAAAAGACAGGCAGGTTGTCATAACCCAAACATGCACTGGCTCTTGGCAGGTCCCAGTCCTCGGTACCCAAAAGAAACCAAAGTTCATATCTGTAGAAAAATGGGCAAAGAAATGGCCCTGGCAGCTTTACTCATAATAGTTCCAAACAGGTACCCATGGTTGGGAGTGGGGGTGAGGAGGCTGGGCTGCCCACACGAGGAGCAGCAAGCAATAGAAAGAACCGCTGATACATAACCACAAGGGTGAATCACAAACGCCCATGCTGAGTCAAAGCCAGGTGCAGATAAAACACGGCCAGATTCCATGAATCAATGTTAAGTTTGGATGGTATGCGCTCAGATACACACGTTTGCTTTGCTCATGTGCCATTTTATACTATAGTAAGAAAAAAGACCCGTAATCAAATGCTGAACTCTCTAGCTAACGATCTGCATGCTAACATATTCAGGGAGGTCTAGAACTTTCTTTGGAATGCACAAAAAATAAAGTGTATTTATGGATAGCTAAAGATGTGACAATGCAAATGGGTAAACATTAAAGGAAAATTCTCTCTACTCTTCTGTATGTTTAACATATTATTTACTTTTTCAGGAAACTGTTTAGGATAAAGTTCTTAACATCTTCTAAGGTTCATCAGATGAAGCCTGTCTGCCCAGACCTGAATTCAGCCTGTAAGCCTTCAGGCTAGTTACTTTACCTCTCTGGGCTTCAGTTTAATTACTGGTTTTTGTTTGTTTAATGGTGTTGGCCTTACAGGGTTACTGTACAAACAGGACACAGTGAGAACTGAAGACTTAGCATTGTGCCTGCACAGAATTCACCAATGTAAGCAATTGTTTTTCTATCCCTCTAACCTCCAGCTCTGTTCTGTTCCCGCTACCCCTCCCCCCAGAACACACAGAGTAGCCTTGATGTGAGAACTCATTTGACACATTTAACTGAAGTGTGTGGGGCTCCCTCTGTGTGTTGCTTGTTTTGTGCCCAAGACATCTGGCCCCAGCAGCGACCCAGAGTTCAAGTACATGGGAAACATGGGGCCTGACACGAACACAGACACAGTTGCTAAAAGAATCCAATTTTCTTGGCTAAGTAACAAACCACAGGGAGGATCCCTTCTGAACCCTGAGCCCAGCTGGTTGGATAGACAGGCAAGGCCCAGCCTGCCCACACACCTGACAGTGATGAGCGTCATGGACCAACTCAGCAGGGGCTCGAAGATACGTTGTGTGGACATAACAGAGGCTGGCTCAGAGCCCTCTGGGTAGTGGTTCTCTGATCCAGAAATTCTGTAAGAGGTCAAAGGCTACAGTACCCTGTCTCCTTCAAGGTCTAGAGATGAAGCAGCCAAGGCTGAGGGGGAGGTGTGGGCTTCATAGTAGCTTGCAGGAGTGACAGGATCCTTTAAGGGACAAAGCCACGAGACATCTGCTTTGTCCAAGCTAAAGGCAGGTAACAGCCAGGGAAACCTGAGCTTTCAACTGTCTTCGCCAAGGACAGAGGAACGGAGAATAGGTAGAGGTGGGATGACTGTGCTGGCCCATGCTGGGCTTTGTCTGAGGCTTGACTCCCACTGTCAGCAATGGTCCCTGAATCCGCTTGGCACCACGCCTGTCATCTGTTGGCACAGCAGGAACTGTGACACCCATGCTCTTCCTCTGCCTCCTTGACAGCGGATGTGGAGGCCACTGTACCCTGAAATCTTTGACTGCAGATGAAGCAGCAGGAGTACATGAGGCACTGATGAGGCTCTCAACAACAGCTGCCAGGGCAAGGAAGGAGGCCAGGGGCTACAGGGGAGCTTGGCCATAAACTGACACCCTCAAAGACAGGCACCCTTTGACGCACGGCCAAAGCAGGGGTTCTGACAGGGCCCCCAGACTTCCCCTTCACAGCTGTCCCTGGACACTGGCTGCCCTCACCTGCCATCTGACATCGTTCAGGAAGCCCACAATACACTTCAGCACCCAGCTTCTCTGGGAGTGTTCTGAGCAGCTCTGGAAGGAAAAAGAAACTGGCTCCTGGGGCAGTAAGGAAGGCCTAACCTCTGCCAAAGGCCTATTCAACCTAGATGGGAAGAAAACAGAAGTCCTATTGGGAGTCAGAGCAGTGGGCTGGCGGTGTGCAGGTCTGGCTGATGGCCACCCACCTGAAAGGAGGGCACAGAAGTTTCTTAGCTGAGAGCCAGAGTTTTGGCTGCTTGGTGAGCCCCTGGAAGCCTCAGCGGGAGAACTGGGGCCTCTTGTGTAGACTTGGCCAGCAATCAGAGGGTTTGGGGGATGGGAGGACCAGGAAAAGGCCACCTACCTATGTACCTACCATCATGATCTCAGGCAAGCCAGTGTCCAACTTTGACAAGACAACAGCAGTGTAAGAGATGGGTGGTGGCCAGGTGTGGGTCATGACGTGTCCACTAAGCAATGGCCTGGACAGGACTCCATGGGAGCAGAGAGGGCAGGAAGAGCTATACAGAGGCATCCTGGGAGCCCATAAGCAGCCACATGCCTGTTTCACACATCTGGAGTCCACAGTATGCAATGCCCATGTGGGCCCATTCTATGAGTTCATATACTGCCACACCAGCTGCAGCAGCTGAACTGTGTCCCCCAAAGACAGTCCAGATCTGAATGCCAGTGCCTATAGATGCAACTTGGAGAAAGGTCTTTGCCAACAAAATCAAGTGAAGGGTCTCAAGATGAGACATTCTGATCTGGTTCTAGAATCTCTGCTTCTGAACACTGAGCTAAAAGGTTTAAAAAAACTGGGCCAGTGAGATGGCTCAGTGGGTCAAGGAGCTTGCTGCTAAGCCCAATGACCTAAGTTCAATCCCCGGACCTACACGGTGAAGGAGAGAACTGACTCTCATAAGTTGTCCTCTGACCTCCATATGTGCTCCACAACCTCCATTTCTACACTAATAAGTAAATAAATTAATGTAATAAGATTTTTTTTAAGTTTCAAAATGTTTAAACTTTTAAACTTTAGAAACAGGTGATTTTTTGGGAAAATTCTCAAGTTTATATATCCTTGAAATACCTGGCAAAGAAAATTCGATAATTAAAAAAAAAATCTCATTAGGGGGCTGGAGAGATGGCTCAGTGGTTAAGAGCACTGACTGCTCTTGCAGAGAACCCAGGTTCGATTCCCAGTATCCACATGGCAGCTAAGAAACATCCTTAACTCCAGTTCCAGGGAAATCCGACACCCTCTTCTGAATTCCGTGGTATTGAATGACATGAGTGCACTCACATGCATGCAGGCAATACACTCATACACATAAAATCTCATTTAGGAACAAATACATAGCGATATATAAATATGGACAGAAATCATTTCTAGAAGGTCACGCATCATTATGGGCAGTTCTGAGACGTGCAGGGGGTTGGCTCAAATTTTCATAATAATTATACTTGCTTCAGTGACGAAGTCATCTTAAACCAGAAGTTTTTCCATCTGCACTGTGGAGATGGAAAAACCTGGTCCACAAGAACAGCCTAGAAGGTTCTTGATGGGTAACTCTATACTGGCGGTCTTATGTGCTTCTCCCAGGGATAATGGTGCACTGGGGTCACTGGCTGGCCTCACCCCACCCAGGTCCATCTCACTCTCCACTTGCTGTGAAGTAACAGAGGAAATGGGCAGAGGCTGGTAAGAATCATCACCTGGCCCTCAAAAGCCATGTGATCACCCTAGGGTGCATCCTGAGATGAGAAGTTGTGCCTGCTAGCATGACAATGGTCAAATGTGAGAGGTG